AGCTGTAGAGTGCGGCGATTGTTGGGCTCCATTCCTGCATAGTTGCATTACAGACAAAAGCCTTGCTACGCCGCTCGTTGTAAAAGGATTGCCTGTCTGGAATGCCTTTGACCTGAAAGCCAGCATGGACTTGCTGAGCAAGGGGCATCTCAGCTTCAGCTCTAAGAGCGGAACCTTCTTGTTCATGCCTTCCCAACACACATATCGTCGCTTTTTTGACTCGCCTTCGTTTCAGGTACAAGTTTCTCTCCGAGCTTGATGATCCGAAATCAGAAGGGCCGGCTCTGGACCTGGAGTCATCACTGGACGGAGCTTCGTACGCATTGAGATGTGAGCTGAAACTGCCTCTGCATGCGAACGGCTCCCGTTGGTCTCGGTACTAATCTGTTTGGCTTTCCGAGGGGTGGCAGAGAAGTGGTTGGGATGGGCACGAGGCGAGGTCTCTTCAATTCCGAGTGGCGAGCATTCGGACAGACTCATCAGGAGCCGACCCCACCCAGGGATCTTCGAATGCGGAGGGTCAGCGCCGGCGTCTCTTCAGCGAGGACAGCGTGGATGGCGAGGCAGTGAAACGATGCCTCGAAGTGTTCCTGCATTCGTTCCGACCCTAGGGTGGGCAAGCACCGCTGGAGCTCCAGAACGTGCATGCACTAGAACCAGGCCGGCAGTTGGGAACAAGTAATCTTGAAAAATAAAGACGCTTGCACAGGTGCTGGGAGCGTTACGGAGGCATCAGCCGACCGCGTTTTGCAGGAGTGCTGCTTGAGAGCGGGCGCTGCAGCTTGCTGTCTCTCCCGCTCCCTGTCCAAAATGCTCTCGGCCTGTCTATTGGTCTCATTGTGACAGACAAACGGAGATACAAAGAAAGAGCGGCAAGACAAGAGGGACAGAGGACAGGGGCGTCCTAGAAGTGTCCACGTCTCTCTGTTAAGACGGTTCGCAAGCAGACATGCAAGGACAATCATGTACCAGCTTACTTATTCCTTGTTCACTCTGTCCTTTTGCTTTTTGTCCAGCTCCGCGGTCGTCTCTATGTTGTCTTTCAGTGAGCGGGCCGACACAAACAGGAGGAGCCGGCAGACCATGCGGATATTCCTGCACTTCCCACCTCAGAGGCGCCTGCGCCTGCCGGCGTCAGCGACGAAAGCTTTCAAGGGAATCCCTTCGATGGGAACCCCTTCGCCGAACCTGGGGAAGCGCAGCAGTCCGTTGAGCCAGACGAGCCTGCGGAGCCTGCGGAGCCTGCGGAGTGTGCGGAGCCTGCGGAAGAGCCGGAGGAGGCCGCCACGCCCGCTCAGGAGCCTGCGTGGTCTGTCGACCCAACGCCCGACTTGAGCAGAGGGAGCGGTGAGTTCGAGGAGAGCTCGGAGGCCGAGCCGGGAGAGCCGGCAGAGCCCTCGGCCTCTCCGCACGTAGAGGCCGCCCCGGCCGAGGCAGCGGCTGAACCCCAGCCTTCCGGAGTGGAATCGGGGGCCAACGTTCCAGAAGCGAGCAAGGTCCCGGTGGAAGCCGGAGAGCATGAACAGCTCGGTGAGGAAGGGATCGGTGCAGATTCCTCACCAGAAGCCGTCACGGAGGGCGACGGATTGGTGCAGCATCCGGGCCCGCAACTTGGCAAGAACAAGTACTCTGCCAGACTGACGTTGAGAAGCCTTTTAATTGAAGTCCTGTACCTACATCCACAGAATTCCACAGATCTATCTGACAGTCTTAGTGCTAGCTCAGGCACTGCGAGCTTGACACTGCCACATCCACGGCCAGCAGGGAGGGTGCTCCGACCGAGCAGGCGGCAGTGGTGGCAGGCTGTGTGGAGAAGTCAAGCTCCTCTGCTCTGCGAAGACTCGTCAAAAGCCGCTGTTTGCAGGCGAAGGAGTGCTCCTTCAAAATTCCCCGCTCGCTGTCAGTCAGCCGGCAAGTCCCAAGGCGAGTTCCTCTGATTGCCAGTGGCGGAAGGCGCATGAAGGCGCGTCGGTTGGCTGCTTTTCGTTTGTCTGACTGCAGGATGGAGACATCCAGCGTGAAGTCGCGGAGCTGCGCACACAGCTGGAGGATGCACACGGCCAGCTCCGGCAGAGGGAGCGTGAAGCTGAGAAAAGCAGCTTTTTCCAGTCTGCGACATGCTGCCAGCTGCAAGCGCTTCGGAGTTCGAGCAGTTTTTGCCTCCCAGGCGACAGCTTGCCGATCTTTCCAACGTCTTAGCGGACATGGAAGCACGAGAAGTCGCGCGCCGCGACCAGACTCAGACGGTACGAACCAAGGCCTGGCATAGAGATGCCTGGTGGCATAGCGTCTCACCTCAGCAGCAAAGGGAGTACCCTTTCGTCATGTTCTGCTCCAGGCGACAGAGGCCGTGCGTGCGGCCGAGCGTGAGATGCAGGCCGCCCGCAAGAGAGCGGAGCAGGCGGAGGCCCGGCAAGCTGGCTTTTGTCATCCTCATGTCCCTGATGATGTCCCCTGCCCTCGCAGGTCAATGAGCGACGACTCAAGCAGGAAGTCGGACCCTTGGACTGCGCGACAACCGGCGTTGACATGGGTCCATGATTCAAGGCACGTGACATGGAGCAGGAGCTCCACAAGGCTCAGGACCGAAGCACTAACTGGATGCAAGAGACTGTGACCCTGGCGTGTGATCTTTTCGTTTGCAGGAAGCATGGAAAGACAGAATCAGAAAGGCTGAGTCAAAAGCACAAGAAGCAGAGAAAGATGCGCTCGCAGCCTACGGGCGAGTGTATCGCCAGGAGGGAACTCAAACGAACTGCGATAGGGGACATTACCATGGCACCTGAGGAAGGATGCGGCGGCTGCAAGTTCAGCCGAGCTGGCAAAGTTGAAGGCTCGGATGCGCGTGCAAGCAGCTTGGCTTGATCGAGAACGCTTGCATCTGCCTTTGCTGCTACGTCTGGGTACGGAACCATTTCTGATCCTGCCCTCATTGTCTTGGCGATGCTGATGCAGGAAGAGATGGTCTCGTTTGTTCCCGCAAGCATTAGGTTTCAGGGACGGTGTCGGTCTGGATACAACCACCAGGTCGGTAAAGGGTGCTGCTAGACTCGACGAGCGTGCAATCAGTCGTAGAATCTGCAGGCTCTTACTTTGCGCCAAGACAAAGTGTCAAACCAAGAGATGAGGGAGACTGCGATGGTGCAAGACAACAACTGTTCGATCAGGAGTATTCATCACCAAATTGGAATGTAGTTACTTCGCAGTTGCTTCGCCCGAAGCGCATTCAGGCTGCTGGCAGCGAGGAAACTCGTGGCGAGTTGGAGGACACCAAGCCTATTCTGCGTGTTTTGCAGGTTTGAGGGGTGTTCTGTGCTGAAGTTCAGCCTACGGATCTACGGCGCATCGACAATTGAAGTTTAATGCGTGTACGGGTTTTGGTTTTGCGGCAAGGCCTACAAAGCACGGACCGAAGAAGAGATGAGCCGTCTCGGAGAGCGCCTCCGCCGGAGCCCTGCAGTGTTTTGGTGCCAGAGATCAGAGCCAATTCAAGTCATCATCATTCCAGAATTCAGGGGCGGCCGCGGACAGCGAGCTGCAGCTGCGGCAGGAGCTCCAGCAAAGTGAGCAGAGTCGACAAGAGCTGCAGGCGCGAAAAGACCTGAAAGATGAGCATGTATTCGCGCTTTCAGCAGCTCAGAGCACGGAGCACCTGCTTGGTGACATTGCCCTGGGAAGGAACGAGCGGTCGAGCTTTCAGGCAGGTAGAGTTGCGGGCCGAGGGAACGGCCTTTCACATGCTTTGTGGATAGGCCAGCTGGAACACGCCCAACAAGCATACAGAAACTTGGCCGACTCCTACGGACCCTCCCTTTTGCGGCCTTGTGTTTTCGCTGGCTTTGCTTCCTCCGCCGCTCGAAGCCGAGGCGAAGCTGCTCGTGAGGCGCCAGACGGAACTGACTGACTCGGCGAGCGAATGCAGTTTTGCGCAGTTTTGAGCACTTTTCGATTCACTGGCGCTGGTCTCGGAGGTGGGCGCTATGTCCCTTCGCTTGAACGAGCATCTCGGCAGATTTCATCCGACCCGAAACGCGGAGTCCTAGCAGGTCATCCTTCCAGCCGGGCGGGGCCCTCCGGCTCTCGTGATTCTGCCCCCGAGGCTTGAATTCACTCAGAGAGACGACAGCCACTCGGAGGTTCGCCCAGCAGAAAGAACTGGCACTCGATGACGATGTCCTGCGCCATGAGCTTTCCTCAGCGAAGGAGCGGCTCTCGGAGTACGGGCCTCGAAAGCGTGCCTTGGTCTCCTGCAAAATGGGCCACCGTCTGTCTGAGGATGGACGATCGCCTCAAAGAGCCTCGCAGCTGCAACCAGTTGCAACTGGACAGGGTGATTTCGCATAAGGTTGCATCTCAGCATGACTCGGAAAACTGGGGGCATGTCTACGAGTAGCAACATCTAATCTCATTGCTTGCTAGAATCGTGGGCATTGATGGTTCTGTCATTCATACAAACAGCGTTGATTTGTGGAAAGGGAACACCAGAGCCCGGGCAGGATGTCGCACTTGTGACATCGCTGATTTGCCCAGCAAGAGCAGTCGCAGTCCCTGTATGCCCCAGGTGCACCTGGATGCGAGACCACGCGCTCAAACAAGCAGAGGAGGCTCCAGCCGAAGCAAACACCCACAGAAACAGGTTCTTTGTGGACTTGGCAGTCCCTTCAGGCCAGGGCGAAGCTCCAGTCTTTGGAGGAGGCATGAAGCGGCCTGGGGAGGGAGAGCGCTGCCCGACCGGCAAAGCGCCAGGCCCAATCCCAAGCCCAGCATTCCGAGGAGGCCTCGCCTCGGCGAGCTTTGCCGCTTTGCTGCTTTTCTAAAAATGTATCATTTTTGATGCAGGCCGGCAGCGGCCAGGCCATCGACGGGGCTGTCGGCAGATCATGGAACACCCGTGTTGCTCCCATCACGGCCATCGTATGCCGCTAGGAAGCGCGGGCTGCACTTCAGACAGCGCAGGGAGAGGCCTTGCACTGCAGAGTTGGTGTCAGGGCGACGACTGGTTCAATCTTGGCCTTAGAGTGCTGTGGCTTCCGCTTCAGGTAGAGGCCCTGCCGGGCTCCTACTTTGCCACGGCTTGCAGTTCGCGGACAGCCCGTGACGACACCGCACTAGCTAGCAGTTTACTTGCAGAAGTGCGAGGCAGCAGCAGCTGCAGAAATTCGTGGAGCAGCACAAGACGGAGTTGCAGGAGCAGGTTGGTGAGAGCTGTCCAAGGGACTGTCTGTGTGGCTGCCTGTCCACAAGGCAGAGATTTCTCGCGAAGAGATTGAGTACTTAAAGCGTAAGAATGATGTGACTCGGATGCATGCAGTCCATGACGGTCTTTGATTTGACAGCTAGTTTGTGCTGTACTCTATGCATGGCCAACCGCATCTCTTGGAGTGCTGGTATGACAGGGATGGGGGCCCGCTGTCGCTAGTCCAATAATCACGTGTCAGACATGCGGGCCTTTGCAGGAGAAAGACAAAAGGCTCGAGGCGGGCTTGAGAAAAACTTTCCCGGCGAAGCACTGGACTTCTTGTTCAATTCCTTTCTCCATGGCAGATCCTGACCTGCGAGAGAAACGCTCTACGCTATGCTGAGGGCACAGAGGCTAGTCATCTTGGCAGGCACGACGTGTGCATTAGCTCCAAGAGTCTGCAGGCTTCCAGCCGGCCCGGCCGCGTTGCTCCCAAGACCGAGGCTTCCGAGAAGGCTCCTGCAGAGTTTTTCGACAATGTTCCAAGCGCAGATGCGAGCCTTGCTTCAGCCGCTGGTCGATCTCGAAGATGGCCTCTCCTTGAAGGAGGTCCTTTCTAAGGAGCCAGGCCAGGCACAGTCGTGCCGTGCAGCTTTCGGGCTGAAGAATCCTCTCTGAAAGTGTGTGTGTGTGTGTGTCTGTGTTTTCAGCAAGGTGCTGGTGGGGCCGTCAAGGCCATAAAAAAAGGTGAGTTGGTGTCTGCGAAGTTGAGCACATTGCAGCAGGCCTTTTTTGCTGACGGTGACCTTGTTCTGAAACGCTTCAGCAAGTGGCGAGACCCAGACACAAGATTCCTGCTATCAGAGCGCAAGTGAAGTGTGTGTCGACTCAGGCTGCTGTTTGCCAGCCCGACCACACGCAGAATTTTCTACGGCCTGTGCCTTTCCTCCTTGAATGTGGGCATGGGTAATCCAAGCTGCGGATGTTGTAGCAAGTGTGTCCCTCGAGGCTACGTGCTTCTGCTCCATATCTGGATCTGGGTTGTATTGCACAGGGCTGCTGCGGTTCACTCCGCCCACACGATTTCAAAGCCAATCGTTCCCAATCCGTCTTAAACGTGTTGCATGGCTTTGTGTCTGCACCGGAGAAGTTCAGTTCATTCGCTTTGAGATTGGAGGCCTAGAAGGTTTGGGAGGCTTTCTAGGGTATGCAGTGTTCAGGGCCTGGAGCATTTAGGGTTTAGGCGGTTTTGGTTATCGTACCGTCTATTTTTTTTCGCTGGGTGTGTTGGGGAAATTAGACTTGAGCGTCTCAAGGGTTGAGGTATTCATAGTGTCGGGTTTAATTCTTAGAATCCAGGGTTGTAAGGCTTTGGACTAGAAGGATTTCCGGCGTTGGATAAATTTTTAAAATCAAGATTTCGTGGGCTTTTGGCTACTTACTACTTGTAGACTCCTTTGCTTGAATAATTTTCCATTTGATAAATTGTTTATATATAGATTCTAGTTAAAAGACCGTCATATTCTAATAAGATTATTTTCGAATAATATAAAATAATGAGAAAATACATCTAATCATATTCTTTGGGAGTTGATTTAAATATTTCATATTTTTTAAAGAAGGATTCAAATAATAATTCGAAACGAAAAATAAAAATAAATAGTTTAGAGAATATTGATTTAGATTATATATTTTTTGGATACGATAATTATATTATAAGATTCTGATGATAATTATTGATTAAATATTTAAAAATATTTAGAAAGGCGAAATAAATTAAATTTTGCATTTTTCTTATACAATTATGTTTATTGATTTTTTTCTATAATTTGAATTATAATTTATTCATTTTAAAATTTAAATTCAAGATTTTGATTATTGATATATAAAGAATTGAATATTATAATTTATTATATGAATATGATGAATAAACAATGGATATTATAATTAAGATAAAAGAAATTGAGCGGTATAATTATCTTTTAATATTTAATCTTTTTCTTTTGATTTTATGAATATATTCTGAAATAGAATATTTAAATATAGAATTTACAATTTATGGAGAAAATATAATTTTAATAAATTATTTTTTTTTCTTTCTATTTTATTTTAGAATTTTTCGAATGGATAATGCCCCAGGCGAGCCCGCGGCACCGCTATCGTCCAGCTCCTCATCGATAAATTTGATTTGATTTCTTTTTAAAAATAATAAATATTTCTATGCATATATTAATAACTTTAACTAGATTATGGATTCATATTTTTCTTTTATAAAAATTATGATTTCGGTATATAAATTTTATAGAATTTAATTTATTTACTTTTATTATAGAGATATCTATTTATTTTATGATAGTTATTATAATACTATATTAAAATATTCTTATATTATTAGAATTTTCGAATTTACTATTATATTCATTATTGATTAATTTTCTATATAATTTACTATATTTGAATTCATATCCTATAAATATTATATTTAATTATTTTCTTCAGATATGATTTTTTTAATATTATTTTCTTACATTTTCTTTTTTTATAAAATTGTTTAGAT